ATTGGCTACCACTTCTGCATTTTAATTTTTGTTTTACATTTTTTTCTTTCCATTTCTGACAACTTTAGAAATGTGCATCTTAAACCATTGCTCTCCTCCAGTGAGTATCTATAAGTAATTAATTATTCAGTAATGACAGCATTACTTATGTCTGAGGAACTGAAACAAAAAAGAAAATGATTGAAACCAGATAATTATCTCTGAAATGATTGTATAAACCCACAGGAAATTATTTCCTACAAACTGCATTTTTTTTTTTTTTTAAGTGGTGCATACAATTATCTCTGGCTTAGATTCCCCAACAGTATTTCTAACCATTTCTTAGATCAGTGGGGATCAGCTACTAACCAGGCCGATGGGACTTACATAGTGGCTCTCTACAGATACTTCCTGTGCTGCTTCATAGTCCTTTGGTTATATATACACCCGGACTTGATGATTAATTCCATAAAATGCTGTCTCTGTTTTTGTCATTCGGTGAAAAATAATTGTGGAGTTTTCTTTACTACAGTATGTCTCTTGCTGAGAGCCACAATATATGTTAGTACATCGTTTTTTTTTTTTTTTTTTTTAAAGCCTTTAACACTTTCAAAAACTATAGTCCATACTTAATTCAGATTTCCTTAGTTTTTTTCCCCCCTGCTCCAGGATTGCATCCAGGTTACCAACATTACATTTACTCATGTCTCCTTAGGCTCCTCTAAGCTGTGACAGTTTTTCAGACTGCAACCAAATACACTGCTGTCAAATCAATTCTGACTCACTGAGTTGATTTATATGAAAATTCGAAGTTCACTGGATATCCTGTATTTTATCTGGAAACTCTACTTCTGAACATTCCTTGGGCTTCTGTGGGGGGAGGGGGAGGTGAGGGAGGAAGGGGGAGGCGCTGGTGGGTTAACTGCTTACCTTTTGGTTAGCAGCCCAATGCTTTAATCACTGCGACACCAGAGCTCACGATGAAAGGAGATTTGTTGTTGTTGTTATGTGCCCTTGAGTTGGATCGACTCATAGTGACCCCTCCTTGGGTTTCCGAGACAGTATCACTACAGAAATAGATTGCCCCATTTTCCTTCCGAGGAGTGGCTGGTGGGTTTGAACCGCCAGCCTTCTGGTTAGCAGTCAAATGCCTTAGGCAAATAACATCCTGTAGCTTCAGACCACTACTCTGAGAGTTGTTACATTCACGTGGAGGACAAACGTGACATTGACTATTTTCAAAGCCACCCTACGTGACCGAACTTGCCATGACTGAACTCTCCCTGACTGAATACTCCATGACTGATATACCATTCTCTCTCCTCCTCTTTTCTCTCTTCAGAAAAACAGACACTTAATAAGCCCATATCATATAAACAGTTTCCTTTAATATGTATATAGAACTTGAAGAAAACAAAAGCCGATGGGACCAGAAACAGGGGGCAGCAAAGGTAACATTCTCCTCAAAGACACATAGTGTCTGGTCATTTTTTTTTTTTTTTCCTCCAGGAGGTCGCACTCTGCATTTATGGAGAAGTGGTTAGCTTCACAGCTCTCTTTCCTATCTTCTGGTTTTCTCAAGTGATGAAGAGAATTAAAAGTGGACTGTACAAATATTTTTCATGTATTTAGATATCAAAAATGAAATATAGTTATAAAAATAAGTATTAAACCATGTTAAATGCCCCATCCATGATTTTCAAAAAGTACATGAGAAGAATAAATTAACAAAATAAAGACTTGGAAACTGATAAAAGTAATCTTTTGGCATCCAAAGAAGTCAGCAAAAGGATGTTAGATACCCTTCATGAATCAATTGGGTCAGCATAGAGAACATTCAAAAGCCTTTGCAAAGTGAAGTTGACACACCATAATCTTTTAATGGCATAAATTCTCATTAGCATCAACTGCTGCATAAATAATATTCATTATAGTCATTATAGGAATGATAATTCCTTAAAGCAATCATAATTTCCTTTAATCTTCTATGGCAGTGTTTTTTAAACTAAAGATTATGACCCATCAGTGGGTTATGAAATTAATTTAGTCAGATATAATCAGCATTAAAGATAGAATACAATACATTAAAATAGAAAGTATCCAATTTCATTGCACATAGTCAATGTAGATATTGTTTCATAATATTTTAATTTCAATTTTATATACACATATGTGTAAGTACTTGGTTATAATATAAAATGTTTAATAATAATTTTTTTTCATGTAGGACATGCTGAGAAAAGTTGAAAAACAACTATCCTATACATAATGTAATTAATTCTAAGACTGACCAAAAAAGGGAGCACAATTTTAAGTCTTGAAAGGTTGGTGATGGAAGAAGAAAATATTTTCAATGGAAGATAATATGAAGGTCAACATGTTTTTACCACCTACTCAGTCACTTTCTCACTTGCTATGGGTTTTGGTTCAAGGTCATAAATGTGATGTTTCAGTTCTTTTTATCAATAGGATAGAGATGTATTGGTATATGCAAATGAGGGCTATAGGGCCAGACTGTCTCTACCACCGACAAGCTGGTTCATCTTAGGAGTGTTACTGAATTGCTACGTGCCTCAATTTTCTCATCTATAAAATGGGGATTTTAATAAACTGGTCTCATTAAGTTGTAAATATTTAATGGATACATACACAGAATCCACCCAACATAGTGTTTGATAAGCAGCAAGTCCTCAATAAATGTTAGGTAGTGTCATTAATACTGGGATCTCTGGTAGCATAGTGCCTAAGGCATTTGACTGCTAACCAGAAGTCTGGTGGTTCAAACCCACCAGCCATTCCTTGGAAGGAAGATTGGGCAATCTACTTCTATAGAGATACCACCTTGGAAACCCAAGAAGGAGTCACTATGAGTCGAATTGACTCAACAGTGAGTACTTTTTTTTTTTTTTAACCATTAATACTTTTTCATATCTTTATTTAAGAATAGGAACTTTGATGGTGTAGTGGCTAAAGCATTTGGCTGCTGACCAAAATGTTGGTGGTTTGAACCCACCATCCACTCTGCTTGAGAAAGATGAAGCAGTCTGCTTCTGTAAAGATTTATAGCCTTGGAAACTGGGGCAGTTCTACTCTGTCTTAATGGGTCACGATGAGTCAGAAGTGACTCAACGGCAGTGGGTTTGTTTGGGTTTGGTTTGGTTAAATAAGAATATCAGATATCATAGATAGTTACTTGCCTCAAACTCTTATTTTTGTCTCTGATAAAGGGAGAATGGGTTTAGAGTATAGATTGTAGCCCATGCACGGTCCTTGATTCTTCTCTCCAGTGTATGTAAATAATAGTTATTGAAATGAAATGCTTTAGACCAGAGGTTCTTAACCTGGAACACATGGACATACTTCATGTGACTGTCAATTCCAGAATTGTGATCAGGATTTTAAATGATAAACATCTGGGAAGTGGACAGAGAGGACTGACATCTTCTCTTGTCAAAGGGATCACATGTGGTATACTGGACAGAGTAAGACATGCCTGGGCCTAAGTCTCTACTACTTAGTATTGTAACATTTAGCGATGTTACTTCTTATAGTCATATTTACCCAATCTGTAAAATTTGAGTTAAAAATAGACCCTATGTCATATAATTGTTGAGATAATTAATGTTGACAGTATTTGAAGAGAGTACATTGACTGCTACATGATGGCCACTCAAGTAAATATTAACAGTAGGAAAAGGACAGGTAGACTGGAAATGAGAATACAATGGTTGCAATTCTGAATTTAATTTCCAAATTCAATGCATTCATTCCTTCATTATTCAACAAACATTGAGCACTGCCATATGTTAGGGACTGTGTGAGGTGCAGCAGTGAACCAGACACGTTTTCTGCCCTCAAAGAGCTTCCAGACTATGGAGACGATACACAGGCAACAACCAGTACTGCAGCTGGCAAAATGTGGGCCAAAGAGATATGTAGGAGGTATTTCTAACCTAGAACCAGCTTCAACATTTATGGTTCTTTTTTGTCTTATCCATCCAGTTTTCATTTCAGTACTGAACAAAGGCAATCTCCTTTTGCATAGTTTAATACTGAATAGAATCAGTCAAATGTAATATGCTTTTATATATATATATATAGTAGCATAGTGGCTAAGGCACTTGACTGCTAACCAGAAGGCTGGCGGTTCAAACCCACCAGCCACTCCTCGGAAGGAAGATGGGGCAATCTACTTCCATAGTGATACTGCCTCGGAAACCCAAGGAGGGGTCGCTATGAGTCGGGTCTGACTCGACGGCATATAACAACAACAATAGTTATTAACGCACATTAAGGATGAGATTTGATCTGAGGAACTTGGACAAAACTATTCTCTTCAATGTGGCTCCAAGGATGAGGAGATAGTGAAATTTCGTTATAATATTGAGACTAGACAATGGGACAAATACCCACCTTATACATGAAAATCATATCACCCAGGATATTTCCATTTTTGCCTTGACTTCCAGGAAGCTTAGAGTTAAATTTAATACTCAATTATAACAGCATAGAAGTCTAAGTTTTTTGGTTTCTTTTTTTCAATGATTTTGACTTTCCATTATTAATATCTTATTGTGTGTGTGAGTGTGTATACACAATACATACATACATACACACATATGCACACACATACATATATACATAGACAAAATACATAGTTAAATTTTTTATTGTAAGCCATATCAAAATATTTTTCAAAATAAGGTAATAATTATTATTAACCTCAAATAAACTAGTGGCTTCTATATCAGCATTTTACTTCATGTATATTTTATGATTCAATGGATATGATTTATATTTATATATATTTAAACCCTATAAAATTGAGTCATACTATAACAGGTCTATTTTAGAAGAATTTAATAGCATTAACAGTGTCTTTCAGTAGATATCTTTATATTATCAATGATTGGATGTTTCATAGTACTGAGATAGTATTGCATCCACTATCAGAAGACATAATGTTGTATTAATCTATTTAAATTATTTTTTTCACTCTCTGGATATAGCAACACTTTTACCTTTGAGTAAAGCTGTCAGGATCGCTAAATCAATGTCCTGATGTCCTTCTGATCCCATCCGAAATACTGTGATCTGCAATTTGAGACAAGGTGACCATTAGCAATGTATCTTTTTCTCCTGAGAAAAACTAAATGAAAGACACCACATCTACACACAGCCTACCTTCACATCTATAAGATATATTCTTAACCACAGGGTAAGCAAATATAGTAAGCACCTAGTGCAAGTGTTCTTGCTCTGTGATGTAAATAGAGACTGCCTTTCATAATTGCATTGGATATGGTTACAAAAAGAGAAAATAGAGACCAAGAAATGTGTCCTCTGCTATCATTTCAGTTTTAAAATGATGAATTTCAGGATTTACAAAAATGTATGTCTTAATATAAACTGAGTTGAGAAATAATTGTTGAAAAATAGTGGTTAGCATGCTTTTCACTAAATGGTCCCACTGTGTGTGTGCTTGTGTGTGTATACACTTGTGTGCATGTTTGTGACTGTAATATAGCCACCACTACACTCCTCAGTAATAGTTATCCAAGGATTTCAACACTGTGATTCCTCCAGACCTTTCAATCCTCTGCCTTTGAACTTTCTTTAGATTAATTTAGCATCATATTCAGGTTGCAAAAAGGAGAAACAGACAATATATAACATCTTTTATTTTGGTAATCTAGAGAAGAAAGTATCTTTGGCTAAGAATAATGGGGAGGAGAGTAAGGAGATAGCAGTGAAAAATCAATACATGTTTAGACAAAAGACAAAGAGAAAACTGAAACACTCATTCCAGAAGAAGGTGTTAATAACAGTTGATAGTGCTATCGTGAACTAGCCATTTGGAATAATCTGTTTTATGACAATGAAGAATTTTCCTCATAACTTTACAATTCCTTCATGTTGGAAAAGAAAAAAAATCATGGAGGTTGATCCAAGATGGTAGACTAGGTACGTCTATTACCCAGACCCTCTACAACAAAACATCTGAGAAATCAAGTGAAGTGGATGTGAATGAAAATCCTGGATCCTTGAGCTTCAAGGGAAAAGATAAATAAGTAGTTTGAAATACTGATTAGAAGAAGAAACTGAATGAAAACAGTAAACAAGGAGACACATGTAGTAGTGAATTGCCAGTTGTTCCAGCACAGTTGGATTATTACAGTGTTCTGATCAGGGCAAGAACCAGATAATTGGGTCCTCCAGGACTGTACCAGTACCTACATCACTGGTTGGCAACCAGAAAGGTATGATCTTCCCCCTTATCCAGCATAAATTCCTGGTGACTAGAGGTGTGGCCTCCCATCTCTACCCACCTGGCAGCTGGTCATCAAAACCCCCCACTGCCAGAGCTGTCCTGTTTTTTTCTCTCTCTTCCTGCTTCCCCCCCCCCTTTTTTTTTTTTTTCCCCTCTTCCCACCCTCTCTTCTTGATCCAATGGAATGGGCACCCTGCTCTTGCCCCTCTGTGGTTGGTGGTGTGCACTTCCATGGAGTATGCACCATCTTCCCACTGTAGCTGTGTTTACAGCTAGCACTTGTGCCAGTACTGTGCCATAATTTTCCTCCTTTTCTTTTTTCCCCTTTTATTTTTCATTTTTTCTTTCTTCTTAGTTCTTCCCTCCAGCTTGATTTTTTTTTTCTTCCCCCCCTTTTTATTTTGATTTCATAGAGCAGTCAGGAGTGCTTGCCTCTACCAGCAGCACGGGTCATGGGTGTGATCCTGTGGAGGAGGTGCTCAGCCCCTTGCCATCTCAATGCTCAGCAACACCCACCTCTGCCCCTCTGTGGTTGACAGTGCACACTTCTGAAGAGTAAGCATTGTGTTCTGTCACAGCCATTTTTCCAGCTAGCACTTATGCCAATGCTGTGCCATTTTTTTCTTCTTCTTAGTTCTTCCCTCTCCTGTCCTTTTTTTTTTCCTCCTTCCTCTTCCTTTACCACTCCCCCCATCCCATTTTCGTCCCCATGAGTTGGGAGCCAGAGACCCTACTCAGCCATACCCTCCACACTGTGATCACACTCAGTGAACAAGTACCACCACTCATCCCAGCACCACTGGATTGATGACAGATGGTAGTCAACACTCGCCCAGCCCTCAGTTGCTCTACATATCCAGTGATTAGAGACTCACATCCACATTCTCACCTGTTACCAAATACATTCAGAGTGGGTGGTGAGCACCTCAGGGCTGCCAAACTAGCAGCCAGAGTAGCATGCCTTCCCCATTGTCTGAATATATTAAAGCAAAAAAAAAAAAAAAAAACAGGGTGAACCAAACCAATATACAGTCAACAAATTAATAATACCACAATGTCTCAGAGAAAACAGAACTTCAAATCACGTTTTTTAAAAAATAAATAAATAAAAGCAAGATGGCTCAAGCAAGTGACCAAAATACAGGACAACAAAATCTTCCAGAGGAATAAATGGCATTGGAATTAACTGATAAAGAATTTAAAAAAAATAATACTTAGAACCCTTCAACAGATTAAGGATCAAGGAAAACAAAACACCTAGGAGAAATCATAGACAAAAATCAAATAAAACACACAGAAAAAAAAAAAAAAAAAGACCTCTAGAATTATTCAGGAAAACAATACAAGAACAAATTGACAAAATAAATGAAAAATTAGAAATCATACAAAAACAGCAAATAGAAATTGAGAAGTTAATACTAAAATTTCAGAAATAGATAATGCATTAGATGGGCAAAGAAACAAAACTGAATCAAAAGAAGACAGAATTAGTGAACCTGAAGATAAATCTCTTAATATCAATCTTTTAGGCAAACAATCAGGGGGAAAAAAAGCCCAAGAATTACATAGGACACCATCAGGAGGAATAATTTATGTGTGATCAGTCTTCCAGAAATAGGAAGAGACCAAAAAGATTTAAAACAAAAGCAAAACAAAAAACCTAAGAAACTAAAAAATTTGTTGGAAAAAAACTGCCTTAATATCATGAAAGGCAAGAAAATACACATTCAAGAAGCTCAACAAACCCCAATTAGAATAGACCCCAAAAGTGAATCACCAAGATACATCATAATCAAACTTTCCAAAGGCAAAAATAAAGAATCCTGAGAGCAGCTCAGGGAAAATGAAAAGTCACCTACAAAGGAGAACGAATCAGTAAGCTCTGATTTATGAGCAGAAAGCATGCAGGCAAAAAAGCAATGAGATGACATATATAAGACACTGGGGGGAAAAAAAAAAGCCAGCCATGAATTATGTATCCAGTGCAACTGTCCATCATATATGATGGCAAAATTAGAACATTTCCAGATAAACATAAATTAAGAGTATTTGTAAAAACCCGACCAATTTTATAAGAAATACTAATGGGAATCCTTCAGACAGAGATGCTCTGGCAGACAACAATCTGAGATTAAATAAAGCACATTACAACATCAACTGGAAATCAACTCAGGTATAGAGTATTAAAAATAAAATAAACCTACAAGACTGAATAGAGGGAGCTAGAGATGTCAATTTGTAAAAGATAACAACTAGAAAGCTTAAAGAGGGAATAAATGGTATAGTTACTGAATTTTAAAATGGAGAGGAAGTCAAGACAATATCAATACAGAATAGACTGTTTTAAACTTGGGAAGATAAAAATAAATTACAGGGTAACCACACAGAAAATTTATAAACCTTCTTAGCATCTCACCAAAATAAAGAAGAAAATTATAAAGATTCAATGAACACTACAACAACAGCAATGAAGGAAATGATAAGAATATTTGTAAACAAAATGAGCTCAGCACAGAAAAATATATGGAACTAAGCAGTTAACACCGCCTGCCACATACACACAGAGCAAAATGACAGCAGTAAATTCATACCTATTGATAATTACACTGAACGTAAATGGACTAAATGCACCAGTCATGAGACAGAGAGTAGCAGAATGGATAAGAAAACATGACTCATCAATATGCTGTCTATGACAGATACCTTAGGCACAAAGACAAAAATAAGAAAAAATATTTTTTAAAAAAATGGTATGGAAAATGTATATCAAGCAAATAGCAACCAAAAGACAGCATGAGTTATAATATTGATTTCTGATAAATAAACTTTAAGGCAAAATCCAGCAAAAGAGACAAGAAAAAACACTATGTAATGATTCAACAGGACATAATCATAATAAATATCTGTGCACCAAATGAAAGAGCCCCCAAACACATAAGTCAAACTATAACAGAATTGAAAAGAGAAATAGACAACTCCAACTAATAGTAGAAAACTTTAATCCACTGTTTTTGATGAATGACAGAACAATTAGAAAGAAACTCAAGAGATACAGAAAATCTAAACAACATAGCTAACCAGCTTGACCTCATAGACCTACAGAAAAAAACTCCACCAAAGAAAAGCACAATATATGTTCTTTTCCAGAACATATGAAGCATTCTCCAGAAGAGAGCGTATGTTAGGCCATAAAGTAAGCCTCAATAAATTTAAAAACATCAAAATTTAAAAGCATCCTCTCAGATAACAACACTATGAAATCAGATATGAACAACAGGAAGATCAAGAAAAAAAAAATCAAATATATGGAAACAGAATAATACCTGCTTAAAAAGTACTGAATAATGGAAGAAATAAAAAAATCCTTGACTGTAAGAAGAATGAAAACACAACATACCAATATAGTTGGGATACAGCAAAAGCAGTACTAATAAGACAATTTATAGCAATAAACACACATCAAAGAAGAACCAAAATCAACACTTTAAGCCAGAATCTCCAACAAGTAGAAAAAGAGTAGCAATAAAAGCCTACAGACATGAGAAGAAAGATGTGAGCAGAAATAAATGAAACAGAAATAATAGAATCAATAAAACTTGAAGTGGGTTAATTGAAATGCTGAGTGAAATTAGTCAATCACAAAAAGACAAATATTCTATAAGATCACTGTTGGAAAAAGTCAAGAAAAGGTTTACACCCAGAAAGAAACATTCTTTGAAGGTTACCAGACATAGGAGGGGAAGGAAGGATAAATCACTAACTAGATAAATCATTAACTAAATCACACACTAATTTGGGTGGTGGGAAAGGCAATATACAATAA